TCTTTGATGAATTTTGTTATCTCTTTTTCACTTCATTGTCGAGTGGGCTTTCTTAAGATACAGAAAGAGCATAAAAGATTCCTTAATGATTAAAAAATGAAATAATTCCTCTTATACCGTTTTTGAAAATAAAGCTTTGTCATCAAAGTCACAGAAATACATTTAACTTTTGAAACTTAGAAACTAAATATTCAGACCTATTCTATCTCATAAAATTTTAAGGACTCAGACATGGGTCTGAGGGATGACTGAATCCACACATTTCCTGAAAGTTGACTAATATGATTGCCACTTTTGCATGATATAAACATTTTTATTTGGAATTATGCTTCACTGTGAGACTGATGTTCTGGGATTATTTCCATTTTTCCCAATCTAACTTCTTTCTCATCTTTGGCATATCCTTCAATGAACAGACTTTGTGTAATCATTCTTCTTCTTTCGAGATAGTGCTTTACGTATTTGGTAACAGCTCCTTCTTTTCATGAGACAAGGTCTTATTGCATGATCCAGGATAGTCTCAAACTCTTAATCCTTCTGTCTCAGCCTCCTGCATGCTGGGATTGCAGGCATGCACCACCATGCACAGCACAATGATAATAGCTCTTAGTTCTCCACTATTGTTTGATATATTTGATGTAATAAACTTTTCTTTTTGCTGAAAGGTGGAAAGAAGGTAGAAAACAATTTCTAGATTTTGACATTGTATGTGTGAGTATTTAAAACCATAACCAACTAACCAAACTGACCTCTAAACCAGTAAACATTTATGAATAAAACTGTTTCTCATTTTTTAAAAAAAATGAATTGAGAAAAAATGACTATGTCATCCAAAGCCACATAACTAGTCATATTAACTGTAAAAATCTGATCATTAGCTAAACACAGATGTCTTATCCCATGAATTTAACTACAATCTTACTGTATTTAATCAGAAAATCTTTTATATGAAATCACACTTTTTGTCTCTTTCTAAGAGATAAAATTCCATTTCACACTGTACCTAGAAGAATTAATGGAAATTAAGCATCAATAAATACTTCAAGTAATATTGAAGAATGAGATAAGGAACGTATCTGTGTGATGAAAGCTCAGTGTTTGTATGTCTGTATTAAGGACCATAATAGAATGATTTATTCCTTTAATTTCTGATCACTTTTCTTGTGAGCTTTTTTAGTGGTGAGTCTGATGGTCATTCTTTTAGATGACATTTCACTTATTTGACAAGATAGACTCCAACCCCTTCATCCCTTCATCCTCTCAACAATGAAAATTCTGGGAGGTCTTATTTGTTTTTTATTCATTAAGTTTATTGGTACATTTTAGGTATACATAATGATCACATTCATCATTGGGAATTTGTACCTGTGCATGATACACCTTCGTTCTTGTTTTTCCCATTCTCCTTCCCTCCCTTCAACTGCTCCCTATTCACAAAAGCTTTGTTTCTGTTTTTTCCTTGTTTTCTCATTTTTTTCTTTCTTTTTCTTGGAAGGCCTTATTTTAAACTAATCATAAAAATGTCCCAAGCTTGCAAGTGAGTATTCATTCAAATAAGATCTAGGGGGCTAGGGATTTAGCTCAGTGGTTTCGCCTCCTGCTGCACAAGTGCAAGGACCCAAGATCGATCCCTGGTACCAAAAAGCAAACAAACAAAACAAATAAGATCTAAGGACAAGGAAGCCAGTTCAGAATGGTTTTCAGTGTGAGTGCTGTTTGGTCTTCTCTGAGGACCTTTTACCTCTTTCTGGGCTGGAAAGGCTCCATTCTTTACACTAACTACGTGGGACCAAGATGTTTGAGGCACACGCAAAGTTTTGCTTGGTTTCACATTGTGCAACAATGTTTTCTTTGCACAGATATGGCAGGAGAGTTGGAAAATAGAAAAGTTGCATTAAGCTTTCTCATAGTACAAGATTTACAATCCTCAGAGGTTTACAATTCGCACTGCTCAGTACGTGATGAGTAGGAGTTTGCAATACGAATGATGTGCTGTGATTGCTTGGGGCATAAATAAACCTGAGTGCATGTGCAGTTGGAAATTTACTGGGCAAGTGGGAAGAACTACAGTGCTGGGGCTGTTACATCCGGTGTGGGTTGGCAGTGTTAGGAGAGAGAGAGGAGCTCTTGTGGGCGTTTGAGTCAGGTTTTGCTGATTGTATAGACCATAGGGAGTGGAAGATATTTTCTCCCTTGTCTTGATTTGACTGACTAATGGACGAGTTTACAGGATCAAATCTCCTTTAGGGAGGCATTTATGGAGGCTGAGAGTGAGAGTTAAAGAGTTTCATTTTACAGTCCAGGAAGGAAACAAAGACATATACACCCTGGGCTCTGAGAGAGAGAAGAGGGCGGGAGACTAATATACTGGGTGGTGTTCGTGTGAGTTAGTTTGTAGTCTTACTCCCAAAAGGACTGTCCATTGCTATCTTTTCAAAATTTTAATTTTGAAGGCTAAGATAACCTAATCTTCACGTCCACTGACTTTTGGAACACTGAATATTTGGTGACAATTATAATGGCCAACAGCCTTCTTCTTGTTCTTATGTCTTGTTGTATGCATCAAAAGAGAGAATTCTCAAGTTCTATCACCTCTTGGGTTGAGTTAGATGATCACAGAAGTGATAAAACTCTAAGATATCTTGCTTGTGATGGGAAATTAAACACACACCAATGATATAAGTAGTACATAACTTTCAGACAGAGAGAGGCTATGAGTCAACTGAAAAAAAGAAATTTTACGTCATTGTTCTTTCAGTTGTATAATTTAATTTAGTAATGGACCTATGGAATAGACACAGAGGGTTAAACTCCAAACATGTGAAAATTAAAACCTGTCTTCTGACAGAGATTGCCATGTTTTGCCTTCTCATCAGGCAATTGAGGGGAAGCTCATGTTGCTACTTGGACATGTCCTATGATGCCCAAAAGAGTTCAAGTGAGAGACAAATGCAAATACAACCATCACATAGTCCACTCTTCACTGAAGGAAGTGGGAAGTAATGATGGCATGTTTGAGCAATCGTGGTATGGAATCATTATCAGACAATCCAGTTCATAAATCCCTTTAGGTCCAATGTAGAGAAAACATTGACTTGTAAACTTTCTTAGAAAAGTGTCCATGCTGTTGCAGGACTCTAGTAGTTTCCTGTTAATAACTACCAAATTAAGTGTAGACACCACTGCTTGGCAGGGAGGTTGTTCCATGACTCTTCCTATGCTGGTTGTCTGTCATTATTTCAGATCACAGATATTGCCACTATTACCTACAGAGCACTCCTCTTACCAGCACGTGTGTGCTTTTACTTTCCATTGCTCTCATAACTCCGCTCTTCATGGAGGGCCACCTTCATAGTGAAATCCTTGGTTGCTCTAGTTAACCAAGAGTCATACTTTTATCCTTTCTAGATAATGCACTCATGTCTTATCTTTCATAGGTGGTGTAGAACACTTCTCCTTGCTAGGTGCCTTAAATTCTTTGGAAGGGTGTAATTAAGGATTTGACCACTGATTCCTGTTATTATAGTTGCACATCACTTTTCCATTAGCTGTAGGCTTATCTCCTGAAAGGAAATTATGTATTAAAGTATTAAGATCTCTGTCAAATACAGAGAAAGTGGCATCCATTAATATTTGAAGGAATTGAAACATTCCATATGGATTCTGTTTGTTTTATTCATTTATTATTTATTTAGATATTATATATTCACCATTTACTATCTGTTTTAGACCACACTGCATGCCTAATAGATAGTAACTGTGATTTAGGAATGAAAAATATAGTCTTTTTCTTAAACTGTCTTACAATATAGTGAGGATCCAGGCATGCTTCTACATAGAAAAACAATGTTAAGTGTTAGAGTTGTTTTATGGGTTTAGAACATGGCAATGTGGCTGAATCTAGCTAGAGGTGGAGAAAGAATAACTAGCTGATTTTTTAGATCTCACAATGAGAAATGACTATTATGACATACACACATGTGTCATACACATAGGGATCGAAAGATGGAAAACTAAAGTAGTCTTACGTGTGTTCAATTAAGAGCAATATAATGTGAGAATAGGGAGCAAGTAGAAATATCTTTGTCCTTAATTGGAATTCGAGAAGTTTAATTTCCTGTCCAACTGGTGCAGTTATCATATACTCAGAATCTTTGAAGTGATGGAGTTTGAGGTTAAATTCATTCTCCATCCCAGAGCTGACTACCTGCAAAGAAACTCACCAGTCCAAAGTCATGGCTGTCCCTGACCGTGATCAGTACACTCTTAAACTCAGATTTACATATTGAATTACAGGCTATCACATGCCACACATAAAAGTGCTGATTCATACACAAAGTTATGTTGTAGATGCTTTAAAAGTGTGTCTATGATAAAGGTAAAGGAAACGAAAGAAAAGAAAGAAAGAAAGAAAGAAAGAAAGAAAGAAAGAAAGAAAGAAAGAAAAAGAAAGAAAGAAAATCAAAAGTTTAACCTTGATTAAAACAGAATGAATCCAAAGTGGAATACTTTATTTACAACCAGCCCAGTTAGAGAAGTTAATAGTAAAATAAGATTTCCTGGATAATATAATGCAGTGTCTCAGTTATAGCAATATTGTCCAGTTTAAAATTTTGAAGATTTTTGCTAGATAGATTGGTGATCACGCTGTTTAAATTGTTCCGTGCTTTGTAATATTGATGTCGCTGCAGGCACACAGTCCACTGAAATATTAATACTTTAAGTTTCATAATCTTTTATTTCATTTTAATTTTTTATGGTGGAAGAGTTTTCATTGAAATTGAACATCTTTGTAGCAGCCTATTGCCCCAAGTACCTCTGAGATCCTAAATCTGACCATGAAAATGTGTTCAGTCTTTTTCCAGAGAGGATATTGGGAAGATCTTGTCCTATTCAGTCTGTAGCAAGTGATGGAAGCTTCATGGGAAGAATTCAAAAGAGTTTTTCTGTCCCTTTTCTTTGTTTAGCTTAATGGATCTGTTCAATTGCTTCTTTTATAGGAGGGAAAGACCTGTTCAATGGAGCACAAAGAAATGCCACTGCAGAATCAGAGAAATGCCGTGAGAAATGCCACTGCGGAATCAGAGCCGGTCCCACAGGTAGTTTTTAGTCAGTTTTATTTTTATAATGTCAGAGGGTGTTGCGTGGATCCATTGAATCCATGCATTTCCATGTAGCTCTTTCTGGAGCAGGATGTTGCATTGGCTGGTACAGGACAGGTCCTTCCATTTGAGCCTCTGGATTTAAGCATTTCAAGACCCCTGTGGCTGGCAATAATGCATTTGTTTCATCTCTGTGAGCCTTTCCTCTTCTCTACTCCTCCCTATTCTCAAAGAAACTAAACTAAACCGAGAAAAAAGCCATGCATCTATTGCTCATTACACAGAGGAAATTAAGGAAGATTTGGGGAAGTGGAGTAGGCTGAAAAAGTACATTTGTCTTCCACAGTCACAAACACAAGAGCTCAGTTCTGAATTCTCACATATTCTGCTTTATCAGTATATCAGGATGATGCTCAGAAAGTATCATCTTTTTTAAAAAAATGGTTAAAAATTTGTAAAATTTGTTAAAACAAATTAATAACTGATTTTTGAAGCTAAGTGTCTAGGTAAGCTCAGTTAGAATTGAGTGGTTTGGTTACAATTTTTTCAAAGTTGTCTTAAAACTTTGCCATTTCAGACAAAATATTTGTATATGCTTTCATGCAGTAGGATAGTAACAACTTTATTTCATTTGTGTCTGTCATTTGTTTTCTGAGGTATAGACTGAGATGTGTGAATTTTCATTATTCTACTGTTAAGACTTGCATTTTTACCCTAAAATGTGTTCTATCGGATTCCTCTAATTATCTTTTCTGCATTATTTGGCAGAAATTGCAAATGCCTCCTTGTTCTGAATGTGAGGTGAAAAAAACCCCAGAAAAACAGATAACCAGCTTTGAAGGCACAGCACCCCGAGAAGAAAAAATACTGTAAATACTGGAAAACCACTTTGAAAACATCCATTTGCTATTGTCTTCATACTCTTTTTAGACTACAGGCTTGATGGAAATACCAAGTTTATAAAGCATGCAACTTTTTCACAATTTTATGTAACTTTATAAAGTAGTCCAGAAACTCCAAAAGATTCCAGACCGATTATGATCCTTAAGCAATAACCTACTTGAAATGGATTAATGCAGTCATAGATATTTTACTGTCATCGCTAAATTGCTAAGTATAAGTTGGCGTACTTTGAACTAACATGCAACATAACACTTGATTCCCTGTGTTCATTTGGATGCTAGTATTTCTGTGCTCTAGGTATTGAGATCAATTGGAGAATAAACTACTGTTAATCCTTGGTATTTTTAGAATCCAAATTGTAACCACATCCTAAAGGTTTTGGGCCATACCAGCAAATTGGGGTCAGCATCATTCAAATTTGGAATTTTTTCTACCTTACTATATTCTTTTTTTGATCCTGTTCATCACAATTCTTACTGTTTTGATCTAATGATAATTTTGTCTAGCTATGACAAGGCAAATCTGACAAAGATTTAGTCAGTAAATAGAAACCTTTGAATATGTTTGGAATGATGTAGACAAACTATTTGGAGAAATGATCAAATTTCTGACACAATTGAAATTTTCTTTTCTACATTCTATAGTCTCATATTTTATGTACATCTACTAAAATTATTCCAATTTGGGAATTGGGTTTGAAATGCTATGATTCTTTTTTTTTTTTGGTCCTGGGGATCGAACTCGGAACCTTGCACTTGCGAGGCAGGCGCCCGAACCACTGAGCTAAATCCCCGGCCCATGATTCTTTTTTTTTTACAAAATTGGGTAGTAGAATATAGGGTAGGAAGAAGTCTCTAAAATACAAATATGCAACCTGATGAATATATATATATATAGAGAGAGAGAGAGAGAGAGAGAGAGAGAGAGAGAAATTGGCATTTGATAAAAGTAAAATACCTGTGTTGACTCAATGAATAGAATCTCATTAAAAAAAACTGTTGTATTCATTAAAACAAATAAGTAAAGTTTGCTTTAATCTTTGAAGCTAGGTTTCTGTGTAAGAATATTAACAAATAACTTCACATGTGAATAATCTTAATATGGCGCACCATCAAAAGGGACTTAAACTTGAACAATAATTCAATATCTGATATTATCAGTAGTGAATCAAACTTGCAAATTGAACATAATGGATTAATGGATGTAGGTTATTTGCACCAAATGCATTCACTTCTGTTTGTACCAAATGGATACACATTGAATAAGTGCAGAAAGGATATAAAATCATTGATTTTACTGAATGAATCTGCTAATTAACAAATTCATTTGTACCAGTGCAATCTAGTAGTGAGTAAATAAAAATAAACTAAATGAAATCTGTAATCAATATCCTAAGTTCTGAGTTAGAACAACATACATTAGATCCCCATCGAGTATTCCAGTCAGTCTGACTGAGAGAATTACAAAGTATCATTAGCAGTAAAAGAAATATTGTGTTATATTTACATAGCAATTCTACTGGCTTAGTTCAAGGTCCTTTATCGTACTTTTAACATAACTGTCTAGTTCAGAAAGAAAGAGAAGTGATTTTATAGATAACCCATACAGTTTTCAGAGGAAGTACAGGTAATGAGGAAGAAAAATATTAAGGTTCAGTCTGAATTTTTTGCTGAGATTTTCCCAGTTCTAAAGAACGTTTAATGCTATGTGGCACTGTGTTACTAGCTTCAGAATTCCTGTTTCTCCCTACTCATTCTAAGTGCCCTAAACATTTCCAGAGATTTACAAAAGAGAAGCAGATAATTTCAGTTTAATTTAGGTTTACTTTCCTGTTCTTGCCCTGCATCTAACTTTCCTCCCAGGCAATGTGGTTCCCATGGAAAGTTAATCACAATCTCACCATAACACTGCGTGATTTGAGACACTTCAAATCGTTAGGAGATAATGTTGAAAAATGAGGATGTGGCTTAATACTAGTCAAGTTTCTAGAACTTTATTCTGTAGTTATTTATTGTGTTTGTCTTGTGATTTCCTATCCTACATAGTAAATGCTCATATAATGAATTTGCTTTTCTCGGTTTCTGTTATGATTAAATGATCTCTCAATCAGCATAATTTATTTTTCCCCTTTAAAATATGTAAACTTAAGGACCCCTCAGAGTTTACTCTGGTATATGTAGTGCATAATTTACACCCATCCCCCCAAAAAAGAAACCCAGAAATTGTAGCAGAAAGCTTTTATTTCCATTTTTCATATAGATGCTGCTGAAGGTACCACATTATTTGCATTTTTAAAGACATATTCTGCGAGTTCCTTTTAATACAGAGTCTGCAAAAAATGTATAGACACTTCAGGAAAAGACAAACTTGTATAAACATTTTAAGGCTAAATTTATTGAGACATCATGGGATAAATGTGAGGTACCTTTGGCCTCTGTAATTACAAGAGGTCCTCATGGTGGTGGTCATGAGTTTCCAGACTTTTATTAGTACTGTGAACGGCTCCTTGGGTGGCCGTGGTCATTGAGTCTGCTGCACATGCATTTTGAGTTTCTTCCCAAAGGACCAGCAGTGTAGTTGGTTTTCTGTGATGTAGGACATCCTCTAGGGTCTCCATACCAGGGTAACGTCATCTGTTGAAAAAACATCATGCTGTTTTTCTTCTCATAAAGTGTATATACATTCTTTGGCAGACTATAATTAAATAAGGCATTATTTTGTAGTATAGTCTACACCTGTATTTAAGTTAATTCATTTTTCCCCTCAATACTTTAATTGTTTTAAAATAGGACCTGAGAGGTTTAAAAAGTTTTTCTTACATGTGTGCTATTTATCTGTAAGAGAGGTAGCATTTCTTATTATTTCTTTTAACAACTATGTATATAAATAAATGTTGCTTTTGAGAAATTAACTTTTATATCCCAAGTATCCATAGATAGAGAAAAATCATTAAGCAAACTGTTGACTATAGATAGTCTAATTCTATTATGTACATGGCATGACAGACATTGAAAGACTGTAAATTCTGTAGACTATGGATTCCTATTGAGAATATAAAACCATCCTTTCCAACAGAGTAACTTGTTTTTAATATAGGTACCGCAAGAAGTAAAAGAAATGTAATTTCTCTCTGGTTATTTTTAAATGCTTATCAAATACTACACATTCATCTCTATGTTAGAAATTTAGTTTAGATTTTGTCTTACTGTTTGCATATTAGCCACATAAATGGAATCAGTGCCTAAAATGTATAAATGAACGCTGTTTCTATCCAGTGCAACCATCCTCAGAAGAAAACCGAGTAATTTCAGTCACCCATCTGGATGTGGTTTCCTATGTAATCTCAAGTATCTGAATGCTGAGAATACTGTGTGTCCTACTTTTTTCATTGTCAAGCAGATATTTAATATCACACTGCTATTTCAGTGACAATTGTTTTTTATAAAACATTCTCAGCTGCAAGTCAAAAAATGGTTATGTGTGTGGAGGAGACATTTACTGCTTTAGTTGAACACTAGATTGCTGGACTAAAACAATATTTGTGAACTTTGCTATAATGGAATCTTTTATTTTTATAGCTCAGGTACAGTAATTAGCACTAACAGCTGCATAGACTGAAGTGATTATTGACACACAGAGTAGGCCAAGCTGGACAGACTTAAGAGTAAGGAAAACACACACTTCTTTATTTGGGGGACATTTTCTTACTCATGTGTACAGTCTTAAATTCCCCCAAATTGTGTATCCATCTGGATGGTCTTATGTAATGAATGGTAAAGTGATGATGAATAAAAAGTGCTGAAAGATGGGTGATTTTCTTCAATGAATGTTATCAAAACTTCAGTGTACATTGTTCTACAGAAGCTAATTCAGAAAGCAAGTGTTAGCATTAAAGCAATTCTAGCTTTGTCTTTCTTTTTTTAACTTAATTTTTATTCATAATTGACAGATAACTATTGCATATATTCAAATGGTACCATGTGATGTTTTAATATAAATATACATGGCGGAATGATCACATCAAGTTAATTAACATATCTTTGATGTCAGAAATTAAATTCAAGTGCTTAGAACTAGTTGCCCTATGAACTGTAATCAATTATTTGTTGAATGTTAATTCAGGAGCTGAAGCAGCATGAGAACAAACAAAGCAAACAACAAGAGTGTATTCTGGCATGAAAACAGAACCAAAAAACAGTCTTTTAGCAAGAGAAAATGAATATATATACTTTGTGGTTGTGTTTTGTTTTTTTTATGCTGTTTCACCTTTGCCTTTTTGTTAAAAGTTTATGGCCCTTTGGGTATGACCTTAGAGAAAGTAGATAGAGCACTCCTGGGTGAATTTCTAAGTGAATCTCATTGTAATAGATACAGTAATATGCCACATAAGGACAGGAATATGTTCTAAGAAATGACTCATTAGACAGTCTCACTGCTGTGTGAATAGCACACTGTACACACAAAAATCTGCACACTATTGATTGTGTACTATGCACACCTTCAGGCCACCTGATGTAGCCCACTGCCCTAGGTCACGGGCCTGTACTGCAGGTGGCTCTACTGAGTACACAGTGAGGAGTATTTGTGCCTCTAAAGAGATTGAAAATGTACAGTGTAAAAATTAGGTGATGACAGCCCTCAGCTCCCCTAAACTACTATGGGGTCAGTGCTAGAGAAGAAGTCTGTCACTCCCGAACTCACTCTGTCCAGGACACGGCTGTGCTTCACACGGTCGTTAATTGGCACGCAGTTCTCACACACTTGGACAGGCACTGATGTGGTTTAGATATAAAATGTCCCGCCCAATTCTCATGTCTTCCAAAGTGGGGCTTTTCTAAGAAGATGGGCTAACGAGTGTGTTACTCACCCGGGATTAATCTACTGATGAGTCCAGAGCTAAATGTGCTACTGGGAGATGGGGCTGGTCAGAAGAGGCTGGTCACTGGGTGCGTGACCCGGAAGGGTGCATTCTCATTCCTATTCCTCCTCTCTCCCTCTCTGCCTCCTCCTGCCACAGCGCGAGCATCTCTGCTCCACTGAGCCTCCTACCCTGCTGTTTCTGCCTTGTAACAGCCAACCACAGAATGAACCATCTGAAACTGGGGGCTACATTAAATCTCTGCTCACTTAAACTGTGGTGTTGGGTATTGTGTCCCGAGATGGGAAAGCTGACTAATACGTGCACAGCTCACTTGACTGCGTTTAGCTTTAGTGTCCCAATCGGGGATCTGTATTCTGTGAACTTGAGTGTTAGTAAAAAAATTTAAGGCTGTTGAGATAAAAGAACATCCAAAGGATGGCACTCTGGATTTCTCAATTCCCTGATCTTTAATAAAGAAATAAATTCTGATTAAATTTCCACGTGAGGCTGGAAGGGAACTAACACTGTTGTAGGGCCAGGTGAGTTGGAACTATAGAGAGGCACCACGCTCTGAGTTAAATGGGATACTTTCCTATCATAGCTGGCAGTCTAGAGCGGGCTCAGGCCTCCGAAAACTCTGGACAAAGGAAAGGCAGTTTGCAGGGTCCTTTCAAGGGCTCTTCTATCGGGGAGGGCTCAGGGAGTGGGAAGCACAATTGGAACTTCACAGGAGCAGAACGTTGCTGTCAGAGGGGTCGGGGCGGTTTCACACCGGTTAACGTTAACTGAAACACAGGTGTGGGAGTCTCCTGCTTCCAAAGGAGCAAAGACGGCATAGTTGCAGACTCACACAGGATGGGTGGTCTGTTGGGCATCAAGTGAGGGCACTCCAAAGGGCGGGGGCCTGGGGAAGGGGAAGGCGACCACCTGCCATCACTCGCCTTTACACAAATGGAGGCTGTCACAACACTAAGACAACTCCACTGTATGTCTCCGGACAGTTGCTATCTTCTCTGAGTTCTACTCTTTCTTCCAATACACTGGAGTAGCAAATTAACAGACTACAAGGTAATGACAGCTATTTCATTTAAGTACTGAGTTTATGCTGAAGAGGCACAGAGTAAGCATGTAATAACAGCGTGCAGATTCTGATCAAAATAATATCTATATAAATACAGTAAAATGCCCAATATAAAAACATTACTTCTGTTTTAAAGGTATGTACACACACACAAATGCATTTCAAAGTGCCCAGAAAGAAAGCTATGAGGAAGTGGGATTGGCCGCATATTCGGTCTGCGTTTCCCTGTGTATTAGGAGGGTAACTGTATTGAATGAATGGGAAGAGTAATTCATCTTGCTTCCAAAGAAGCTAATTTAAATTTTTATTATTTGAAGGAAGATATTGCCTTTGTCTAGACACTACTATGTTGAATACATATTTCTATTTATTTATTTATTTATTTGGTACTGGGGATCAAACTCGGGTCCTTGTGCTTGTGAGGCAGGCAGCAGAACCACTGAGCTAAATCCCTGGGGTCCTGAATACATATTTTCAAATACATGAATTAAGATTTGTTGATTAAAACTCCTGGGGAGCAACATCAAGTAATTCTTCATTTAATCACTCAATATTATCACACAACTTTCCTCCTGAAATCATACAATGTCTGTCTGCTCTTGTGAGTCATAAATACCAATTAAAATTATGAGGTTCTGTTTGCTTCTCGATCATTTTATGAAATTGCAATTATTTTCCGGATTTGTTATTTAATCTTATAAAATAATGACTGAGAGCTGGGAAATATGAGACATTTATCATAATTTGCACCTATAATAAATTTAGTAAGATGTGGCAAAGACTATAAACCATTATGTCTAAAAAATGACTCTGGTAAAAATTAAGCTTTTAGACTCAGAACAAGGCTAATTCCATGCTCCAGTGACATTTTTGTGGTAAACAAGACATATTTCTGCTGATCAGATTGTTTTCTGCTCTCCAAGTTTTAAACGTGGAAGAGGAACCAGTACTAGTTTTACAGGGGCATTTAAAAAACTAATAAAATATTAATCAAAATAAAGCCTCATTTCAAATTTTGTGATAGAAGTGATTCCACATACATTCATTACTTTTTGAAATTACATTTTTTTTTCATTTGAAGAAGTGTTTCTTTTTCCTTTGAGTCTTTCTTTAGCTCTAGTTCAAAGCTTCGAAGTCTAGTGAACTATATACTCCCTCTTTCTCATGCTGCCTTTTATTAAAGCAAAGTAGGTGAGTACAAATTTCCTAATGTGCCTTGAAATATTTTTCAGGGCACAAATGTACTGTAGCCCCTTAAAAAGTCTGGGTAACCAGCACACTCTTTATATGTAGATGTGTTACATTTTGAATTGCTCTACTAATCTTCTAATTTCTATTTTGTGTCACCTTTGGCCCCAGAGAGGGTCCATACCGTTTCTTTTAAAAATATATAATTTTATATGTAGTATATAACTGTAATATATAAATAAAGACTACTATATAAATTATAATATATAAATATAAATATAGTTCTCAAGAGACCACCCTGAGCACTGTATTTATTTATTTATTTGTTTATTTATTTATTTATTGGTACCATGGATTTAACTCAGGCCCCTGTGCTTGCAAGGCAGGCGGCAGAACCACTAAGCTAAATCCCTGGCCTAAGCACTACTATTTAAAAAACCAAAATCTCATCATAGCCTATGTGGCTGTATTCTGCTTGGCCACCTATCTGCCTATTTTTTCCTCATTCCTATCCAGAGTCTGGATTAAGTGAGTGTTCCCTGGATACTTACTGAGTAAATGAATGAACCAACTACTCTCCCTAATGATATCAGCGTTTCCCTCTTATGACCCGGAAAGGAAAGTTGGAAAACACACACACACACACACACACACACACACACACACACACACAAACTGCCAGGCCAGGTCAGCGTTTGACACCTGAGTGGAAATGAGCCCAGCCTCCAGTGAAAACAAAGCATGAGTCTGTATCGAAACCTAATAGAGATGAAGCAATGAAGGTAAATCTTTTCCTAGAGAGAAGGATAAAAGAATTTGAAATAAACATAGGGGGCTTTTAGCCAAAACAACAATTTTTTTATAGTAGGAAGGTTTACAATATTATGAATTAGAGTCAACCAATGCTTTAGCTGATTTACCCAAATTATGTGAAACCTGAATTTGGATCCAAGAGTGAAAGCCATTGACTACTTAGCTACAGTACACCCCAGGCATCTAACCTAAGCAGGCTTGGCATCACAAAAACAGGTTCCTGGGCTGTGTTCCAGAATTACTGAACCCGATTTTCTTGTACTGGACTCTCCATTTTTGTTCGCACCAATATGAAGCTATGCAAACTACAGCATTTTGCCCTAAACCATGCAGGACACTCTGTCTATGTAATTATTGTTCTTTGTGTCTTATAATTGTTCTGTTTCACTATTACATGAAATCTTTCTAGTTCTACAAATTTGCCTGGTTCGGAGGTTTTTTCCTTCTAGAACACTATCAAGGTCTTCACAGCAGTATTTTTCTACTATTCCCCAAATACTGCAGCTTCTTAGGTAGAAGTGGAGCAGTCATTTTTCTTCACATTTCTGGCCTATTTCTTACACAGCAATCAACATGCAAGACTGTGTCACCCAGTTGGCAAGGTAATGGCTTTGTTTTACCTTCCTGCCTCAGTGTATTAAAATGCTGAACATGGTAACTGGTGGCTGATAATGCTAATGAATACTGTAAGGGTAATTGTCTCATTGGTTGCCATGCAGGATAGCAGTAAGAGGATCTCCATAGCAACAGCCCTTTGTGGATGCTACTGGTTTCCTTAGTTTTATGGCATTGTCAATTTTTTAAACTGTAATTTTATTTTCCCCCCTCTGGAAAAGGAGTCTGGGGATTTGGCAATGAGTTTTAG